TCTTCATTTTGAAAATATCTCTATTAACAATTCTGTCATTCTCTTCCTAGTGCATTTTTCCAAATGTGGCAAGGAAAAACTTTTGGCCCAGTGTTTTAAGCAATGAAATGATCATTTGAATGAAATGAGTAAGAAATTTGCCTAAAACAAATATGCTAAGCCTTATAAATTCTGACTCAATGGAATATTAGGAATACCAATTTTATTTAATTATGTTAATAACTTAGGGAGATATCACTGTCTCATTTTTTGGTAAAATTTTATCATGTATTTACTCTGGCCTGTTAAAACTTGGAAGCTCAACTTTAGAATTAAACAGAAACTTCATATAAAAACACTTCACCCGATTCATAAATAGATTTTCACTTGCACAAAGTAATCAGATCTATATTTGACAAATATCTATCCCCTCGCTCTATCACTTAACTATTTGTCTGTCTTTGGGTACAACTAATCCCACCTTTTATTGCTCTTTTTTCAGACTCTTCACTTTTGAGTACTATCATTTGTACAACTAAAATCTTAATATTATATGTCTGTCAGTATTCATCCTTTTTATTCTTGGACTGTTAAATTCTTGTCTCTTAAACTTCCTGACTTTGTGTTTCCCCTGACCTTTTTACTTCTGATAACTGGATATATCTTCTCAATTTTCATATCCTTCCCTAAGAATAGTAAACATCATTATACTTAACCAACAAAATAAGTACTAATAGCCTAGTCTGGTCTTCAAAACTCTTCATATACTGACATCCAATCCTACCCTTCTCATTGGCTCTCTCTTACTTTATGTCTTTTGTCTCTCTATTTATAGACCTTGAAAAGCATACCTTTTCTTTCCTTCCAGTCTGGACATCATATACCAATCTGATATCATATCTTAATATTTTTATATCTTTCATGATCCTAGTTCAGTCTACATATTTAGTGAAGAAATGTTAAAATGAGCTGGGAAGGTGGCTCAGTGGTAGAGTGCTTGCCTCACATGCATGAGTCCCTGGGTTCGATTCCTCAGCACCACATAAACAGAAAAAGCTGGAAGTGACGCTGTGGCTCAAGTGGTTGAGCTGAATAGCTGAGGGACAGAGTGCAGGCCCAGAATCCAAGCCCCATGCCCCCCCCCCAAAATGTGGGGCTCATGCCTAGAATCCTACCTACTCAGAAGACTGAGATCTCTGGGTCATGGTTCAAAGCCAGCTATCTCAGGAAATATCCCTAGGATTCTCTTCTCCAATTAGCCACTAAAAATGCGAAAAGTGGAGCTGTTGATCAAATGCTAGACCATAAGCCTTGAGGACCAGCACAGAAAGAAGGAAAGGAATAAAGGATGGAAAGAAGGGAGAGACAGTTTATTGTATTTTACCCAATATAAAACTTAGCATATGGACTAAGCACCGGTAGCCCAGGCCATAATCCTACCTTCTGAGAAGGCTGAGATATGAAGAAGCAGCCAAGGTAGGAAAAATCCATGAGATTCCATTTAACCACAAGAAGCCAGAAGTGGTACTATGGCTGAAGTGGTAGAAATCACACACACACACACACACACCAGTGTAATTTTTCCCTCTTAGTAAATCAGGCTTGTCATCTTAAGTATCAATTTGAGAAGTTTATTGTGAACCTTTTACAAGAAGTCATTGTGCTATGTGTAGGGAGGTAGCTGTGGAGGATGATAGACTATTGAAGTGTCTTGACAAATTAATTCTATGTACTCTGTATTTGCAAACCATATGAAGAATTAAAACCTCAGATATCTCTGGGTTATAGTTTCAGAGATACATGCTTTTAGAAGAAGAGGGATAATGGGTGGCATCACTTTGATTATAAGTGGATCCTGTTAGTGTATTGGAGGTGGTTGTATGTGTATATGTGCATGTTAGAAAGGGATTAAAGAATACTTGAGTAAGAGGATATGCAAATCAGGAAAGTTATTTATTGAAATAACCTCTTTAAAAACTGTCCTAATTTTAAGCAATATTTATAAGAAGTTGAAGTTTCCTGATACTTAAATAATACATTGTAGCGATTAAAATCTTTAATGTTTTCCTTGCTGAATTTTTATTTAATTTTCTAAAGGACGTTGTTGTGTTACCGGTTTAATAGATACACATGGCTAGGTAACTCCAAAAATGAAAAGAATAGGAAAAAAATGTCCATTCTGATGATGCATTGATACTTTATGCCTTTCATAATTTCCTCTTCATGATTATAAGTTATATTTATATAAGGCAAATTGTAAACATATTCAATATGAGTCCTTTCAATGTCAAAATAGAAATACTTACAGAAGTTTTTTTTTTTTTTTTTACTATCCTTAACTTGGGAATACAAATATTGGGAAACATTTTTGAAGTTTGTAACTCTAAAATAAATCAGCACATAATAAAAATGTGTGTTCTTTGAAATACACTGTCAGATATGTGTAATCACATAATTTAGTCTTTAAACAATGGCTAATGAATGTTTAAATTTCCTATCATATAACTGAGCTGCTCACTCAAGGAGAAGCTTGTTATGACACAATTGTTATTCAGTGATTCTCAATTTATAGGTTGGAAATTTGATGCTAAAATTGCTTTTGTTGGCCATTTTCTTGTTAATCAGTAACTTATTCTTACTTTAAGAGCTATAAAATCATTCTAGTACATTATTCTCTAAACTGTATTTTTTCTGAATATTAACCCAAGATTTTAGAGAACAAGATTGAAAGTGGTATGATAAAAATTTTAATATTTTTTTTCATTCTTCAGTACTTCATATATTTACTATGTCACCAGCTATTTTCCTTCACCACACTTCATTATGTTTGTTAGTAGGCTTAAATAATTTTTATCTACATTGTCTCTAGAATATTCCTGTGACTACTACTTTAGTAGACCTTCCTTGAATATCTCTCTTATTCACTTTTCCTCATCTCTCCCTCTTTAAATGCATTACTATTCCAAATATCAGCTTCAGTGTGAATTAGAGAATATTGACCTGAAATAGCTAATACAGAGCCCTTATTTATTTTTTAATATTTTTATTACCTTTAAGTACTTATACAAAGGTGTTGCCATTCAACAAAGCAGTTTATGAATGCAGTGCATCTTGATCAACGCCATCCCTTTCAGCATTCTCACCCAATGCTACCAAGCCGCCATCCCCTCACTTTGGTTAATATTATGGGATATGCATTGATTTTTTTTTTCCATTTGACAAAGTCTATCTATTCAGTGTATCTTGATCTGTCACCTCTTTCGACATTAATGGACAGAGCCCAATCCCCAAATTCCAGCACCAGAACCAGCATAAAAATGGGGGAGGGATGGATGTACTCAAGAATTCAATGCATCTGCCACAGAATTAAAAAGAAAAGAAAAGAAAAGACTCCACATAGAGCTCCCTATGATCCAGCAATCCCACTTTTGGGCATTTACCCAAATGATCACAAACAAGACCATACTAAAGCTACCAGCACAACTATGTTTATATATATATATGTATATACATATATATATATATACATATATATATATATATATATATCACAAATAGGCACTGCCCTATTTGTTAGGAAATGGAATGACTTGGAAAAAATTATATTAAATGAAGTAAGCCAGGCCCAAAGAAACATAGGTCCCATGGTTTCCCTTATCTGCAATATCTAGTATATGTGTGAGACAAGCAGAAAAGTTCAAAAGCTATGTACATATGACCATATAAGATGATGGTAAGCAAAATGAACCCCAAGATAGGACACAAGATTTTATCTTTCTTGTTCTTTTTAATGTACTTATAATGTACTATGTGATTTTTTTTTGTTTCTTTGTATGTTCTTCCTCCATGGTACAACCCCTGTTGTCACTGTAAAAAAAAAAAAAAAAGAAAAAGAGAACGAAAGAAGGAAAGAAAGAAAGAAAAAAATAAGGGAAAGGGCAGATCCCTTACTTCTAATGAGAGGTTTTGTGGCACATCCACCTGTGTCTGATCCAGAGTGTTCCAAATGATTGAACATTGCTCATTACTCACATGAACTAATTTTGCTATAAAATTTCAGATTAAGGATTCATGTACAGGGAAAATATAAAACCCTATCCTTGGAGTGGAAAAATTAAGATCTCTAGGGAATAATGTATAGTTGAATGTGTATATTTGTATGCCATTCTATTTTTTATGCATATTGAGCATGGGTTTTAGAGTTTACTATAAATATGTTTAAGCTAATAATGCTGAAATGTCAGATGTTAGAGCTGGGGGTATAGGAGAGTGCAAAAGTATTTGTCCAGCATCTTGGGACCCCGTTTTTGATCCTCACTAATGCAAAGAGGGGAAAATCACATGTTAAATTATAGGAGATCACTTGACTCACAGATTAGCCCTATAGTGATAGCAGTGCACCATCCAGAGCAAGGAAGAAACAGGAATGCTGCTGCGCTCCACACTCCTCAGAGCACATGTGGCCATTTTGTTCACTCTGTCCTTAATGTGATCATGAGGACCGAGGAAATCTAACTAAATTCAGAGTTGGGGAAAGAGGAAAAACTCCTGAAATTAGGAATGTTCAGATATTGTAGAATTATATTTAGTGTATTCCCATATTGAATATTCTTGATTATTTCAAAGGTCACTATATAATAAACTTAATCATTATGATCTTTTCCAAGTAGTAATAGTCCTAAAGAATCAAATTTCTCTTTAATATAGAAAACCTCCTTCAAATAGAATAGATTGGTTTAAGAGGAGATTCCACTGTTAATAGAGGTATTCAGTCCAGCAAGGGATAATGACTTGATGAACTAATATAATAGAAGTGTAACAGGATCTCATGGGTGCATGGACTAAATAGCCTATAAAACCCCTGTTAACATGAGAATCTCTGCTGTGTTGAAGAAAAAAGTGAGTACACTACACAAATCATGATTGAACAGTGTTCAGACCACTCACTTTTAAATTGCCATTTCATAGCACATTTTATATCTCCTACTCCTGAATCGTTGTGAATTCCTTAAGGGCTGTACATTTAAAATTGTGCTAGATTCAGATGCAGCAGAATATGGAGGACATCAGAGACTGGACCACAACACCGATTTCTTTTCTGAGGCTTTCGAACATAATGGACGTCCCTATTCTCTTTTGGTAAGTAAGACTCTAGCTATTTTCATTCAATTTTAATTTAATCCTCTATTTTTGTGGGAGTGGTTTTATGGAGTGAAACAACTCTTCAAATAGCAGCATACAAGAAATAGAAGCTAGGAAAATCAGATATATTGTATGGTACTGGATTGAACAATATCTTGCAAAAAATAGTAAAACTATTTGAGGACTCTTGGAGAAATTTGAGTGCTAATGAGATTAAAATCACTTCTCAACTATTGAGAGGAAGGCAGTTTTAAATTCTTGCTAGTTATGAGTATGTCTACTATTTTGCTCCCTTACAGTTTAAGCTATGCTGTAATATTTTATGTTGAACAGATTCTTTCATTATTGACTAATGGAGTTTAATTTAAAACATCTTAAAGGAATCAAATGAAATATGCATCTTTTTTCAGAATAAATTCAAACTTGAGTCCCTTCTAAATATAAAATTCAGTTTTACTCAAATTAGTGAAGAAAGTTTTATATACATTTTTTTAAATTATAGTGTTCACACAGACAATGGAATATTGCTTTAAAGTCCTAGTTATAAATTTCTTTAATGATGTAAGATGTGGAAATTTACTAGATTTGGGGAAAAATTTTTTACTGTATTACAGAATACAGTAGCCTCAAAGCCATGCCTGCTTTGTATTATCTTACTTGTCTTTGTTTTTGTTTTCCTGGCTGATTAGATATATGCCCCTAACCTCATTTGTTTTATTTCCCATGGCAGGTATTGGATTAAGGTGTGTTTCACATTCCTAATACCAGACCTTATCTTAACACATTTGTGGATTCATCTTATCTATTAAAGCTCTGAATTTGATCATTTTTTTCACTTTTCAAAATTTCTCTGTTAATTAATCTTTATGCTGGTCCAGAGTTACCTGGTTTCCTATTTGCTCTTCCCTTACAATGGTTCTGGTCCTTCATTTCTCTAACATTTGTTGTAATATATCTACAACTGATATTCCATACATAAATGAAATCAGTGTGGGCATTTTCATGATTTAATTTTCATACTGGAGATAGGAAACTGCAATGACCACAAAGGAATTTAATATTGCTTTAAGTGTGTGTGTGTGTGTGTGTGTGTGTGTGTGTGTGTGTGTGTGTGTGTGTGTGTGTATGCTTGTGGATACAAGAAGATGTACAAATGTATGTTTGTGCTATTTGCATTTTTTAAATTTTTTATTGTAAAGGTGATGGAGAAAGGGGTTATAAGTCAGATAATGAATACATTTCTTTTTGAACAGTGTCACTCAATCCCTCATTTTCTCCTAGTTCCCACACCCCTTCATTCCCCTAAGCTGTACTCTGTACCCTTTGACTTGTACATAGAGTATCTTATTTCGGAAGGAGAAAGGGAAGCACAGAAATGGTGGAACAAGGGGAGAACTAATTCAGCAAGACACTCAGAAGACACTATGTTGGAAATGAACTGAGCATATGTATTTTAAAGAGAGAAATGAAGAGTGCTATCAGACTCCTTCAAAGATTTACTACTCCAGTATTCAGAGTGTTTGATTTTGACAGGTGAAATAAGATGGATAAAATTAGTTCCAGAAGTGAATAAGAACAATAGCTTAACTCTCTTAAATAACGGAAAGGGTTTAAGAGTCCTGAGTTTAAAAAAGATGATTCAGGTCTCTAGTGCTGAAAAACAGCCCTGGACTGCAAAAAACCAAGTTGAACTGATTTAACTAGAAGGAAGAGATTTGAAAGATTTAGCTCTGAATTAGCTCTGAATTTGATCATTTTTTTTCACTTTTCAAAATTTCTCTGTTAATTAAGCAAGAGAATCTTTTTTTAAAAGACTGTTTAAAGACTCAATCATGTATTTCAACAAATGCTTTGGGTTTTTGTTGATTTCTTTTCTTTTTTCCTCTTAGAAAAAGGTCTGGCAATAGAGTGAAAATGTCACAAATTTTCAAGTGCCCTGTCTTCTGACTACCAGTGTTCATAACTGGAGTCACTTAAATCTTTCAACCTCAGTATTCTTCATCCCTGAAAAGAAGATTAATACGAAGATCAGTGCTAGGACATACCCTCCTTGCAACAACATGAAGTTGATTTCTTCTCTTTTTCTTCCTTCCTTTTTTAATTTTTTAATTTTTTTTGCACATGTCAGAAATGCAGTACCACTGCTACATCCTCTCTCTAATGAGCTTCTTAGAGGCAGATATTCATTAATGTGTCCAAAGTTTTGGGGAACTGCAGAACATTATATTATATACATTTAAAAGTAATTGTTATCATCACTGATCAATTTTAAACATGTCTAGACATTAAGTACTTTAAGGGCCTTAAAAAAATCCTGAGTATTGATACCCCCACTAATGCACAAAATAAAAATTTATTAGGTCAGGAATCGTGATGCTTACTGTAACCCAAGCTACTTGGAAGGCACAGATTGAAAGGATCAGGGAGTTGAAGGCCAGACCAAGTAAAAATTTAGTAGGGAGATTTCATCTCAACAAAGAAGCAGACATGGCAAAGCATAGCTGTGATCCCAGCCATAGGAGGATTGTGATTGGATACTATCCCTAGCCAAAAGTGGGAGAACCTATTTAAAATATAATGAAAGCAGAAAATGGTAGAATGCCTGCTTATTAGTAAGGCCAAGACCATGAGAACTGCAAAAGTAAATGATTCAGTGTGTGTGTGCGCGCACACATGTGCGCATCTGTGTGTATGATTGAATTGAACAGAAAATGCCTTGGCGTTTTTTATTTTGTAAGAGCAAAGATAGTCTATCATAATTAAAACAAGTCAAGTAGCTAGTGGTGACGGCAGCCGGATTACATTTCGAGCTGTAATTGAATTGATCTGGCAAACACAGAATGCATAGTTGAAAATGCAGGCTGTGTCTAAAGCCTCAATGACACATGTGGAGGAACACAGTACCAAGGCCCAGAAGAAATAGAAAAGAGCTTAACTATTGACTGTGGATAGAATTCTTATCCATGTTGGTCAGGAAGAAGAGAGTTAACCTTGTTTGCCAGGAGCAACTTCTTGTTTTCCGTAACTTCACTGAATTCTAGAATTCTTCATTTAAGTCAGTCTCTTGGCTCCATGTAAAATGATCAACTAAGTGTGTTCATGTAGAAGCAAAAGCTCAGGTAAATTGGTAAAATAAAGAAAATGAGCTTCCTCTGCCAGACTATTCTACAAAGAGTCAGAGGGGAGAAAAATCGCATGAGCTGATTCTTACAATAACATCTCATAATGAAGATCCTTATTAAATGGATTCATCTGTTCTGGAATCTATCCTTTCAGGTTGCTAGAACAGCATCCTAAGTGGGTCACTACTTGTGAGATCGCACCTGCCTCCCACACTCCTTGAATAAAGGGAGGAAGAATATAACTTTTCCTCCTCCATGAAGTTTCCACCCATCGTATCTAGTGCACAGCCTTTGCTAAAGCTTAATTTGCAAGCTCAATAATCCAAAGGATCTGCTGAATAAGTGTCAAATCTGTTTTCAAAGATAGCAACAAACAGAGCTTGGAGGAATCTTAAAATAGCCGTTCATTGCTGCCGCATCAGCAGGTACGCCCCAGCGTTGTCTCTGTGCTCCCTGGGCTGAAACTGTGAAGCCCGGGATAGCTCTGTGTACCACCATTCAAACTATTTTCTAAGGCCAGGCTACCTCACAAATGGAAAAAAAATAGAAAAAGTGATAGGGCGGAACTTTTCTATTTTGCGTTACAGGCAGTTACTGAAAACTACCTTTTAGGATCATCACTGTATTTTGGTTTTTGATATATGAATTTACATATAAACCATATGTTAATTAGTGCATGAGGGTTGGAAAAGCTTCATTTCTGTTCCCTGGTTCATAAATTAAAATTCTGTGGCACAAATAAGACAACAGTGAATAGTGAGTCTCAAATGAGTTAGATTTCTTCACAGCAGCTAAGGCACTCTCACTGATAAAATTGTGAATATAGTAAAAAGTTTAGCATTAACCTCTTTGCCAGCTGAGTTCTTTACGAAGATGAAATAGATCTGTTTATTCCTATTTGAAATTTGGAGATTTATGAGATTTTTGTACTAAGTAAAGGATTTAGGAACAATATCTCTGCCATTGTTCCTCATTTGTTAAATATTGAAATATTTTTTTGGCTCTGTAAAAAAACTGTAAAAATAAATTTAGTTTTTTTCTGCCTGAAAAGTTTTCAAACGTAAAAGTTTATGCATTCTAGTGTTTCTAAATTAGATAATATACATTTCTATATGGAAATGATTAATAATATAACTTTTCTCCTGATACTAATACGAGATAGAATATCATTTTTGCTTAGAAAATGTTTTATAAACTAAAGCAAATATTTGAAGACTAAAGTTACCTTAACTGTCAGTTTATTTAAAGAAAAATATACGTTACACTCTTAAAAGGATCAACCTACTTCTCCTTGAATGATGTTTTCATTCCTATCAATATTATATCTGTATGTACTATTGCTTATTTACCCCTTTCCAAACCTACAAATTAAGTTTGTGGTACAGTACATTTTTAATATAAAAATTTCCTCTTTGTGTGTGTTGAGCATTATGCCTTCAAAATTGTATAGAAAAATAACACTTTACCAGGCTCATCAATGCACTCAGTTACATTTTCAGTCATACTGTTTAGTATGATAATTAAGTCATGAAAATAATCAAAATAACTTGTGGAAGTGGAATTCATTAGGCTCTCAATAAACAGATGAGTTTATACATGGCTGTTCTGCTTCCTTGAAACAAGTTGACTATGAATATAACTGGCAAAACAAGTGAAAATTATAGACATATTTCATTTTATCTCCTCTGTTCTGTGTGATTGTTATGATCAATACCTTTACTAGCACATATTGTTTGCAATATGCATACTGCATGATTTCCATGTATACTAAATTATAACTTTATCTTTAAATGTACTAGAACGCTTCTTTTTTTTTTTTTCTGGCTGTCTTGCGACTTGAACTCTGGGCCTGGGTGTTGTCCTTCAGTACCTTCAGCTCAAGGCTAGTGCTCTACCACTGAGCCACAAGACCACTTCTGGTTTTCTGGTGGTTTACTGAGATAAGAGTTTCATGGATTTTTCTGCCTTGGCTAGCTTTCAACCAGGTACCTCAGATCTCAGCCTTTTGAGTACCTAGGATTACAGGTGTGAGCCACAAGTGCCCGGTGAACATTTCTTTTTAATCTGTGTTCATGATTTGGGGGACATACATGAATACAATTTATTTTTGAATGAAATGATAGGAATGATCCATGTTTGTAATTGTTTCTTCTTAACGATTAGAGCTGATTATCATCAGTCTTTGGATATAAGTGGTAATCATTAATGGTGAGTAAAATTGATTTAAATACTCAGTAATCTAGTAAAGAATAAGACTAAGTTTTTTATATATCAAAACATTTATATTTAGGGATATGCATATATATATATATATATATATATATATATATATATATATATATAAAACTTACCTAGAGAACTTAACAGATTTCAAATAAAAATTAAGCCAAATGCACTTATTTTTTAATTTTTAAAATTATCTTTCAATACTTCTACAGAGGAGTTGCCATTTAACAAATTAGTTTATGAATATAGTATATCTTGATCAATGTAACCGCTTTCAATATTCTCATCCTTCCTATGCCAACCCTTCAATGTTTTGAGCAGCTAGAGTTAAGAAAAATCACATGCTTTCTTTCATGTTACTTATACCACAGAGGCTCTCGAGCAACATAAATACATTCTGGTAATTAACATTGCCGAGACCAAATATAATTACACAATATTCCTGTTAATGACATAATATAATTATCAACTGAAGGTTTTTGAGCAGTGACTATTAAAAGGCCTCGAAGTGTGACTAGAATTGGTGTCACAAATTTCCTTGCAGAAAGTGACCAGCATCACGTAGTGAGAGCTCTTGGAGCATTTTTCTTTAACTAGTAAATGCCAAAGTAGAAAATGAGGTGCAGATTGCAAACTTGAACTCTGGTCTCCTTTTATTGACTCCTAAATTTAAGCTAGCTAAAATATCAAAAATTCTAATGAGAGTAAGACTATCTATAAATTATCAGCCTGTAGGTGTTATTTACATTTCATTAATGAAATCCTTAGGAGGATATGAAGTACAGAAGATACCACAACTGCATAGGATCCAAGAGCCAATTGGCTGGATTTGTCCTGATAGATGACTATGCCACACAGAGAGAGAGACTGTTCATTATCTGTCCTAAGCCTGATTAATGTGCTTCACTGAGACTTTATCAGGAGACTTGGACTTATCAGAGTGCTTTCACCAGTTTTGTGGGATAATATCTTATCAGAGAAATGATTTTAATACAGAGGGAACTGAGAAATTTGCACCCAGTTTCTAGTGGTATGGAGAAATTTAGACTGCTCTTCAGTGTTCAGATTTTTGTTTGCTATTTAAAATCTCCTAGCCTACCAATTAGTTAAACCCATAACTATGATCCTTAATTCTACATAGACTTCAATATGAAATACATTTATAAAACTAAAGGTAAATAAAAGTGACATAAAAAACTGTTTACCTTGACATAAGTCCAATTTGTTCTTCTATTTTGCCTACAAATAAAAGCACAAACACACCAGAATTTAAAAAAAAGTATATATACGTGTGTGTGTGTGTGTGTGTGTGTGTGTGTGTGTGTGTGTGTGTGTGTATAATGATTTGACTTCTTAAGGGAAACTTCTTTGAAGGACAGATTTAATGCCTTAATTTTATGCATATATTGAAGAGGGAGTGGTTTGAATTAGACGGTTAATTTCTTGTATTTCTGCATACTGGATTTACCTATTTTTTTGTCTATAGATCAATAGTGGAATTCTTTAGGCTGGGTCTGTCTTGGTCATTGACAAGCCCTGCTTGTTCAAGGATATACCTAGTTTCTGTTTGATGAGCTGGTCTCTTACTATATAACATATCACAGCTAAAGAGAAAATATTACATAGAAGGCATGCATTAACAGTTACATTCTCCTATGGTTTGAAAGGTGTAAGATTAGGGCTAGGAAGTTCGCTCAGTGATAGAGTGCTTGCCTTGCATGCATGAGGCCCTGAGTTTGATTCCTCAGCACCACATAAGCAGAAAAAAGCCGGAAGTGGCACTGTAACTCAAATGGTAGGTGCTAGCCTTGAGATGAAGACCTGAGGGACAGCACCCAGGCCCAGAGTTCAGTCTCCACAACCGACCAAAAAAAACAAAATTTAACTTGATTTCCCCACATGTACACATGTAATTACAAAAGGGACAGAATATTTATATTTAGAAATATTTGGTGGCAAAGCAAGATATTGAACTATAACCAACTATTAACATTTATGAAATCTTTCTCAGATGAATATAACTGTCCAAATCACAATTACTTCTAATTAACGATAAGAAAAACTGTTCCCTCACCATTATATTCATAAATTTCCTAAAATGCAACCATCTAAAAACTCCCATAATCTTCTGTATTCAAGAACACCCAGCCCAACTGGTATCTGAATTTTTTTTAGTGTAATAAGAAACCTTAGGGAAAAACATTGTATGTGTTTGCAGAGTTAAAAATAGATTGGACATACATGTCTTATTCAGTGAAAATGAGATTCTGGTTTTATTTTTCTTTCTAAAATGTTTGTGTTGTACTTTTAGTTCTAAAATGGAAGGGTTTTTGTTTTTGTTTTTGTTTTGTGTTGATTGTATTGTAACGTTAAGTCAGGCTTTCACTCAGAGATAAAGTAACAATATTAACAAAGTCAGAAGGGGAGAGAGTGTCATGATGATGACAACCATCTGTATTATTTATAGTGTTTACTAGGATAATTCCTAAGTATTGCTGTATAGACTACACATAGATAAGCATAAGCCATCAGATTACTTCTGAATTTCGTAAAAGTGATAGCCTATATCAGCACACTAGAGAACTTTTTTTAAATATCCACATATTGATCCACTATTATTCCTTTGTTCATCATATATTTTTTAGTCCAGTCAACACTGGAATCTGCTGTTTTTACAACTTCAGAGGGAGGGGAAGAAGTTGGAGAGGTAGGGAGGGAAGGAATGGTAGGGGAAAAACAAAGGAGGGGGTAATAATGCTTGATAGGAAATGTACTCATTACCTTATGTATGTAACTGTAACCTCTTTGGACAGTATCTTTACAATAAAAATATATATTTAATAAAAAATGTTAAAAAAAAAAAAAAAAGAATTCAGATAGGGGAAGAATTTGACACCTGAAACACTGTGACTGGAGCCTCAGGGTAGAAGAATGAGGAAGATGGAAGGAAGGAGGAAGTGAATCAGGATTATTCAGTGTCTGTAAGGGAGGTGTATTTCTTTTTCATGATTTCAATTGAGTTAAAATGTGAAGGGGGCTAAATGATTTCAATTGAGTTAAAATGTGAAGGGGGCTAAAATCCCTCTGTTTTGGTTTGTAAAACGAACAGGGAAATGGAGTGCGGGTGGTTAAAGCATCGTCATAACAAGGAAGACAACATATTGCATCTAACTATCTAAACAAAGTAAAATTATACAACTTCCAGGTAGTCTTGTATTCCACCTCATTGTGGTTAAACGTGGAATTAGGAGCACCATTTATGTATTCATCTGCAATGAATGTTGCTTTTAATAAGTAATATGGAGCCCTCTAGTGGTGATGATTTTAAAATAATCTTACCTTTGGATCTGTAAGTTTGAGCCTTCTCAGGTGCAACAGTTATAAAAATACCAGTGACTTCAGTCAGATGTGAGACTGTGTCACTTTGACATAATGACAACATGTTCAGTATTTCTTCCAATCACACTGACATGATTGTGTTGATTTAGGTGTACATTCCAAGCCGAGTGGCCCTCATCCTACAGAATGTGGATCTGCCAAACTGAAGAAACCTGATCTCAGCTCGCCACAGACAGATATGTGTCGCTTGCTGGTTCTTGTCACTGAGTTTATAATATGTAAGCTTTTCACATACAGCTGTCTAGCCAAAACGTCATATCAAAATTCAATGTTGCTTTATGCAAATAGATCAGGCCTCGCTTGAAGAAGTAGAGGGGGGAAATTATGTTTAAATTTTTAGCAATCCATATTTCTAAGCCATGGAAGCAGCTTGGGTTCTCAAAGGAAGTATGCAATATAATATCTTGAAATGTTTTGCTTTCCTAACAAATTGTTTGATCCTTTTAATTTCAGTTTATGAATTCTATATTCTATATAAGAATATTCGTTGAGTGTGTATAGTGTTTTTTAAAAGTGGATATTTAGTGGCCTTATTTGTTATATCTATTGATCTACATTATGAGGAACAGAGTTGCTTTCTTTGTTTTTCCAAATTATGTTTATAAATAATTGTAATAAATATGTAGGACTAATGTGAAACCAGGAATTGTATCAAACGTAGCATAAAAAAGGCCTTTATCACATGAACTCATTTTTTGTTTTATTTTGTGATCTTTTTTATTCACATATTATTTTGGTAGATGGTGATGTCTGCAGTCTTAACAAATACATAACACAGAATTGAAGCACTTTTGAAAAGTGTCTTTTACTTTACTCAATAAAAATAATTGCAAAATTGCCCATGTTAACGTTTATTTTGCGGTTCCAGAGACGGACTGATTTGGACTGAACATTAACGTGGATCGTCACCACTCTGATACTTTCTCCCATATTTTCATGCACTTGCTTATACATGATGTTTGTTTGCTTATTGGCCAGTCATAGTGCTTGATCTCAGGGCATGGGGCACTGTTCCTGAGCCTCTTTGTGCGCAAGGCTAGCATTCTACCACTTGAGGCCACACCACCACATCTGGCTTTTTATTGAAGATAAAAGTCTCATGGTTTTTCCTCTCCCAAGCTGGCTTTGAACTGCAGTCCTCAGATCTCAGCCTCCTAAGTAGCTGGGATTACAGGGGTGAGCCACCAGAGCCCAGCTAACTTGTGCATTTTTTAGGAAATGTTTTGTAACTTAAAATTATGTTAAGAGTCAGCTCTCTATTTCAATTCAGTGCTATACTCTTTCATAATACTGCCTCTACATTTTTTTATATAATAGGTTCTGGTTCACCCATCATTGGCAGACATCTTATTGTAACTGAGAATTTATGATATATTGATGAGAAATAATGTGTCACTTTTTTTAATTACCTAAGCAGTTGTACAAAGGGTTTTCAATTAAGCAAATCAATTTACGAGTATGGTGAATTTGATCAATGTCCTTTGATCATTCTCCTGAATCTCTCCGAATCCCATTCATCCTCTCACATATATACATTCAATATTATGGCAGTATTTGCCACCCTTTTCTCTTGATTCAATTTCCCCTCCTCTCCCTTACCTCCTCACTTCATGACAAAACATATTTCAGCTTCCTGGTATTATTTTGTTAAACTAATACATCACTATTTTTAAAGACCAAAATATACCTTTCCATTAATTACAGTATTTCTTCTTTGTTTAATCCTGTTTATTCATTATTAACAGAAGTGCTTGGACATGTTCTTTGAAAAATTCACTTTTGAAGCCAGGTACCAGTGGCTCACAGCTGTAATCCTAGCTTCTCAGGAGGCTGTGGCCTAGGATCATGATTTGAAGCCCATGAGATTTCTTAACTCCAACTAACCATAAACAAACCCTAGACATAAAGCTGTGGCTGAAGGGGTACAAAAATTCCAGAGGGATTGTGCCAGGCCTTGGGTTCAAGCCCCAGGACCATCACAAGAAAGAGAAAGAGAAGAGAGAGAGAGAGAGAGAGGGGGGGGGAAGTGAGATGGAGGGAGAAAAGAAGGAAAGGTAGGAAGGAAGGAAGGAAGGAAGGAAGGAAGGAAGGAAGGAAGGAAGGAAGGAAGGAAGGAAACAGAGGGAGGAAGGAAACGGAGCAAAGGAGGGAGGGAGAGAGAGAGAAAAGAAAACCTCACTAATGGTCAAGGTGAACCACAAACTTCCTAGTGAAGTTTAACCTATGAATTATCTAACATGCTTAAACATTTTTTGAATAAAGTTTGAATATCTCAGTGTAATGTGTGTTATTTTCCTTAACTTCCAAGCTTAATACAGTGTAATTTCCTAAAAGACTCAGTAATGCCAGCTGATGCTGTTACACACAGGGAAATATAATCTCAGCTGTCTCATTACAGTGTTGTATTAATGTCCAGCACTTCCCACGGTGTCCTGAATCTGTTACTGGTGAGAATACAAAACTTAGCCATGATGTCCTGTGTTCTATTTATGAATCCTTACCTTTATTTTTGTTAGATATGAAAATGGATGCTATTAACTTAGCATGTAGACCCATGTTCTTTTCATCTGTAACAAAATTAAGAACCTCTGTAAAAAATTAAGGAAAGCAGTGATTATAACTATATTTTCATTATATTAATTGAATTTGCTAGTCTATTCTTTAGATTTCACAGTCTTGTTAGGTTGTTAATGTAATGAAAATTAACTACTCTTGACATTAGCATTCTCTGTCCCCAAACACATCAATAATTGCACTATTGGTAGGTAGGAGATGGAAAAATACACACGATAAACTATGAAGAATTTAAAAGAAAATATGGTTTGCATTTTTTTTCTATCACAGCCTAGACAACTTTTTTTTTTTTTTTGTCGGTTGTGGGGGGCTTGAACTCTGGGCTTGAGTGCTGTCCCTCAGCTCTTCAGCTCAAGGCTAGTGCTCTACCACTTGAGCTACAGCACTACTTCTGGTTTTCTGGTGGATTATTGGAGATAAGAGTCTCATGGACTTTCCTGCCCTGGCTGGCTTTGAACTGTGATCCTCAGATCTCAGCCTCTTGAGTAGCTAGGATTACAGGCATGAGCCACCGGCGCCCGGCCCTAGACAACTTTTATAAGCCATTGTGATATAGTATATTCCACTGCAGGGTTTTTTGGCATGAATCATTTACTTAATGCCATCTTATAACAAATTATTTTTAATAGCTTATTTTTTTTTACATAATCATAACAGAAAGATGCAGAATGTTACTTTGTGTCTTATACGTGCTTGCTCTGGTGTGCTGACACATCACAAACAAGAATAGTCTAACTTTGTTCATGTTTTAGAATCAGTATTTTGGTATTTTAATTTTTATATCCTAGAAAACATAGTTAACTGAGGATTTATTTGCATTATTTTTTAAATACTAGCAAATTTCTCTAATATCCAATGTAAGATTAATTTAATGCTTTTACTCCTTAATATGTTAATGTGATACTACCCTGAGGTAATGCTATAATTTGTATAGTCAAAAATTGAATTATGTTTATTTTTTCTTATAGTGCTTATCCTTAAGACTGCTTTAACTCTAAGGGTAAACACCTCTCCTGTTTTTTCACCTATAAATTTGACACATCTTACATCTACACTGTTCTTAGCTAATGTATTCATCTCTATTGAAAAATGAGGAATTTAGCTACCGTGTTCAAATGTAAAAAGTAACCAGGATAGTACAACAAATTGACTCTTGTGGAAACTATAGACAAATACAATATTCTCTTTTCTCTGCCTCAAGCACTCTCCTTAACAGTATCGGTTCAACATCTATCACCCATCAGGGTTAGAGCCATTGCTATGCGGAATCATACTGGAGGTTGTCTGGATAGGGAGCCTCTTCTTCAAACAACAGGCAGGAGATTGCCGAAAGATCGAGGAGGGAGAGATGAAGGGTAATGTGTTTTCCTCTTGCATTCAGCTTTCAGCTTCAGGGCGAGTATTTCTTCACTGTCTCTGGTCTGGAAGCGATTGAATCTGGCAATGAAAGCAAGGTAAAATAGCTTTTGCTATTGCTCTTCCTATGTAAAATGAGCTAGAGCACATAAACGTGAGAGAAATTTAACAGCAACAAGAAAAAAACAAGGCTCCTTTCTGGCCAACCTTGGGCCTCTCAAACCATTACTATTTACCTATTTTGACTGGTGCCCTCAACTTAGGTTCGTTCTTCAGAGTGCTAGGGATCATTAATCTATTCCTGATACAGTGGTGAGCACTGCGCGATGAACTTTGCCAGGTGGAATACTCTGATGAAAGAAATAGTAATGGAAGACAGAGCAATGTCGTGTCCTTTATTCCATCGAGTTCATTTATCATTCACAATGTGTTAGAATTGAAATGTAGATAAATTTTCTCACAAAAGCCAGCCTTTAGGAGGAAAAAATTCAAATGAGCTCCCTACTAATTTTTCTGTTCTATTATCTTATTAATGATGATATGTAGAAAATTGCAGAGAAACATTTATACTTTAGGGCAAAATTTCTTAATTGGTAATGTGAGGAATTAAGATACAGTAGCTATAAGGGATTTTTTTTTCCCCTATGTAATTTAAAACTTTATATCAAGACTTTAACTTTTGGGAAAAAAGAAGTTATACAGAGAAACTAATGTTATGTGTGTGTCTGTGTGTCTGTGTAAACTATTTTATAATAGATCATGCTTATGCTAAAGGGCATGTCATTGCCAGAGTTTACTATGTCTCACAGTGTTTCTTATCATTTCTGTTGGACCAGAGCAAGAAAGATAACTTGCCTTCATATGTAAAAAGACTGGAAAAATGCCTTCTGTTAAAAGACTGCATTCTAAGAAGACACTATGATACAGTGGTCAAAATGTCTGTATTCAAATTATAGCTGTACTCACCTGTGTTCAAGTTAAAGCATTGCCATTGGTTTTATGAATGCCACTGATTGGCCAACAGTTAATGGTCTGTGGGTCACTGATTACACATCTTTCACATCTGTTGTGAGGGTCACAATGGTACCACACCTCTCTGTCAGGCAAGGCTTCTACACTGCAATAACAACTCTCAGGTGGAGAAGTGTGGATTATTTCATTAAAGTGGATTTGCCTTTCGTTAACTCTTAATGATGAGCCAAAGCCTAGTCCTCTATTGCCACTTTTATTTATTTACTGCTAGTTTGTCTCCCCATACACAAGGATGTTTGGAGAATTCCTTTCTGTTATAGTCAGTGTATTCTGTGGTTTTTTTTTTGTTGTTTTTTTTTTTTGTTGTTGTTGTTGATTTTTGTCGGTCGTGGGGCTTGAATTCTGGGCCTGGGCGCTGTCCATGCACTCTTCAGCTCAAGGCGAGTGCTCTACCGCTTGAGCCACAGCACCACTTCTGATTTTCTAGTGGTTTATTGGAGATAAGAGTTTCACGGAGTTTCCTGCCTGGGCTGGCTTTAAACTGTGATCCTCAGATCTCAGCCTCCTGAATAGCTAGGATTACAGGCGTGAGCCACCGGTGCCTGTCTTGATAGTCAGTGTATTCTTCCTAGTATTTAAGTACTCTCAGACTTTGCACTTAGGTGCATTCTATATGTGAAATTTAACAACCACTTTATGGTAGCCAATAGAAAATTTTGACTGAATACTAGTGTCAAGTGCTCCCCATTAGGGTATAGCCATCTCTTTCTGTCTTGCCCATCTTTAACTGGGCCAGCAACCTAAAATAGAGTATTGGCAAAAGGAATAGCTGAATGAGGAATCTTAAGAATTATAAATGAAAATTACATATGTAGAAATAGTTTTGTTCATCCTAATTCAGATTGAAAAATCTGTACTGTCATCAGAAATACAAAT